GGGCTTTTTCGAATCTTTGCCACCTGTGTGCTGGACGTGGTGATGACATATCCAGCAACAATTAACACTAACAGCTGATGGAATTCAGCGCTTAGAGATCCAAACGTACTGAAATGGCTTATTGACACGCATAGGCACTAATTGTCCAAAGGAAGTTCTAGCGCCTGAAGATAAAAGAGAAAATTGGGGTACTAGTGGAGAAAAAACTTTAAACCTATTGTGATCCTTGCGCCAGCAGATGTGGGAGCACAATTTCTATCTTTCCCATTCTGTGAAGCTTCTCATGCTACTAGAGTTTCTCCCCTTATCTCGAAGAAAGCGTAAATCGTCCCAATTTACCACCAAAAGTTACTGGTAAACAAAATTGTCAAACTGCTCATATCAACAGATTAAAAATTTGTTGTTCCCGCTTTTCATTTGATAATGTTTCCCATCAATCAATTCAACACTCATCAGCACCCTCGGAAATATTACCAAATGATGAGCATCCTGTTGATCGTCCCGAAAGTTTGCAGCTCCACAGCCAGAATCTGGACAGCGACAGCACAGATTCTGAAGATTTATAACTGCAGGCATTCTTCCCACTAACAGTGCGAGTAAGTTTGAATTTTTTTATTTCTGTCTCAAACCGCAATGCGCCTATAATAAATACATAATTTTTTTGAACCGGCGATTCAGATACGAATTTCTCTTATCAAACGGCCCTTACAGATGAAAAATTTTTCTTTTTTCCACGTTATTCCATTACAAATTTCGCCCTTGCACTGATTTAGCGAAATTGTGCTCTTTGAGCGCAGTCCCTCTCAAGAAAAAACAAAAACACTTATGTACTACTTCGTCTGTATATTACACTCCATTATCATAAATCTGATACTATTCTTTTACTACATCGCATATTGTACTAATATCCTCCGCGCAGCATTTCAACATCATACATATAACGTTCACAGTTTACTTATCAAACACAAATGTTGACTTATATTTTGTACAACAATAATGTCTGTTACCTTATGGTACTGCCCAACTATCACCACTGCAATGCATGACACCACCACCGTCGCAACGACCACATCGCCGACATTCTGCCATTCTACACCATCTCATCGCTCGAGGACAAGCTTCCTCAACCATCCGGGGTAAAGAGAAGGTCACGAATGTACCCGTTGTGCCAGTGAGAGCACCAATTTTTCGACCACTCTTCAGCAAGCTCGAAGATCTTTCCGTAGGAATGGAGATGTCCGAATATAACTTCAACATTTGCTTATGCCCCGTCATGTTACCAGTAAACTGCACACGTCACCTCGCCTACCATAGTTGCTGTTGTACGATTATAAAAGACGGCATGTGTAACTCTTACGCACACTCCCTCTGGCTGACCATCTACGTAGCACTTTACCCCTCTCTCCCTTTTCTCTCCTTTTATGTAACTTATGTAGTGAACTTGTTTACAATTACTTATGTCTCCAATGTCTTTAAATAACACCGCTACACCCTCAGGAAAGGGTCTGTACACTCTTTGAACCTGATACGACAATCATACAGACAAACAGACATTCAGCTTTATATATAAGATTAGCAATTTTGAACTTGCTCTGCAATGCTAACGTCCGACGCGAGCAGGTGCACGCGCGATTGACGCGCGGTTGACGCGCTATTCCTGCTGCAGACGGGTCGCTGCAATCACTGAGAATTCTTTTTCTTTCATTGTTCCTTGCTCGGACAATTGACAAATTTCCAAGCAATACAATCATGATACTTCCGAAATGCGCACCTATGCTCTCGCCGATGGGAGAAAAGCAAAAAATCCCAGTCAAGTAACTGACAAGGGGGGGGGGATACCAGGTTGCAGTGGCGAACCAAAATGGTATGCATATCGTTAGATGCGCCATGATAAGCTGAATCCAAATCTGAGTTCCGTATCTGCTGAGTTCTTCTCTAGATGCTATGAGCGTTTGAATGTTCAAGCTTGGCAAACATTTAGTGCCCCCTTTTCAAGAATTACTTGCGTAGGACATTCACGTGTTCGGTTTGTGTACGCATTCCTTGTAGTCAATGCACTCAAGACCATGTTTCCCAAGCTGGTTTTCAAAGCACATTACGCATCAAAACCCCAATAACTTCACATTTTTGGCCTCCCTTAGCTTCTTCTAGAGAAGCGCGTAGCTAAGAAAGGCAGACTTGAAGTCAGCCCATCAAGAAGAATCTGATGGTATGCATATCGTTTTGGTCCGCCACTGTGACCTAGCATCCTTCCCTTGTAAGAAGGTAAGTTGTAGGGAAAATCCCAGTGGCTCGTGCTTTAGTTGTAATTGCTATAAACTTCAATAAGGACAAACGACATTATAATTACATGACACCGAGACGTTCAGTGGTACGATTTTCATGTCATAACATACGTTGAGCAGCAGCTTGGAGTTTTGGTGTGATTATTGCAACAACGTGAAGTATATGTACGCTTCCCCCAGAATTCTCGTCTACGTCCCGAAGTTATGTCAAGAAAACGAAGGTGGATGGACCGATATACCGGTAGAGAGTAGCTCCACAACTAAAAGAGAGGGTACTTGCTCGAAGTGGCGTTTCTAAATTAAGTCTACAGTGTTTCATGAAGCATGGAACGCTGACTCCATATTTGCTTTCGGTGCCTGCAAAGCACTATGGGTGAGGAGATGCGAATTTTTTATAGTAAAGCTTTTTAATAAATTTATTGCAGCCTCGCGTTTAGGTTTTCGCTTTAAAAGATTCCTCTGGCTTTCCTCCCAGAGGAGCTTTGCATATATCGAAGCCAATTTGAAATCAGCATTCCATGCACAATAAGAGAGTATTTCATATGGAAAAGCCACTTCAATTAAGTCTCTTTCTCTTCTCTTCTTTCTCTTCTTTCTCTTCTTCTTCTTCTTTCTCTTCTTTCTCTTGTAAGAGACGAATCGACATAGGTTTTAAAAACAGATTCCTACCACTTTGAACAAGCATTTCCTTTGTAAGAGGTAGTTCGACAGAGGTTTTGAGAAAATTCCTTTGAATCTCGTGAGTGTTCTCAACAGAAGGTAGGAGAGCAAAGAAAAGAAATGAACATTGAGATAAAGGCTAATCCAAATTGGATTAAAAAAAGAGCTGGCCTTTCAATAAAATATTAGTAGAACTAGTCCGATACCACTCACTACGCTGTTACATATCGTAATATGTCTTACCAGGCTGGCGGCTTGTCGCCAGCCACCAACCCTTTAACATCGTATCTTTAGTGCCAACACGATCTAATAGCTAATGTCTCGGGCATACTTCAAGCGATTTCAGTCGCGAGCAGAGAGCGATAGTGGGAGCCGATTCTCCCCTACCTTCACTTTTGAGTTGGTACAGGGTGACCACCTTCACTTTTGGAACAAAAATTTTTTTCGCTGAACGATAAAGAAGGAAAATAAGCAAAACAAACGCAAAAAAGATTATTGAAAGCATATTTTTGTACATACAGCGGCACAAATACCTTAAATAAACGTGTTATGTTATCAAATGGTGTATTTGGAAGTAAAACTCAGCGGGACTGCACGGATTTTATTAAGTAAATTTTGCTATAACGTACAGCGAAGAAAGTAGATCGATCCAGGGAGTAACCGCGAACCAGAAGAATAATTAAATACTGGAAAGTCATGCGAAAATTCCACTGTTATAAATCTGATTTATGAAGATGTCAGCAATTGCGATTTCACGGAGTCGATTCGAGAGATGTTCGTCAAAAACCAGAATTTTATAAAATTACGCCATTTTAGCGTGTTTAGTGACAACTGACAGTAAACTCATATAAATCTTGAATGTGAAAGTGTCTGATGTTGCGACTTCATAGATTTTGTAGAGTGAGGTCTGCCTTATCAGAATATATCTTACGATTAGCCGTACCGATCCATTGAAACAGCGCCGAGATTCAGGGTCTTGAAAAAGCGGGTAAAAAGCGCTTTTTGAACTTTAACACCTTATAACTTCTTAAAAACTGCATGAATCATGTTGCGACTTCATAGGTTAGATTCTTCTCATCAAGAGTTTCAGATGATATATAATATGTGGGGGTTTATGGTCTCCTACGACTTATGACCGTGGGCGAAGACTTTTCATCACAAATTCTCCCCCAGCCCATTTCATTGTACTGAGTGGAGACCGCCAGGGGAGAATTTGTGATGAAAAGTCCATCATAATTCACAAATTACCTTCCCAAATTAGCCTTAGGTGAAGGGGTCATCGGTTTCTGGCTCAAACGTGAAGGGTGTAAGATCCATTGCTCTGCCTTCTGCAACTATGATTGTCAGTGATAACGTCAGCCGAAGTCAGCAGTTTGCATAGTGAGTAAAATCGGTGACTTCACAGTCAATGGTTGGGTGACTAGCTCATTTAGCTTTCTAATAATACCGCATAACAATGGAGTTCCACTCAGCTAGGTTCTGAATAGATGCGTGCGAAACCTCCCACTTTCGGCGACATATAGTCCTCTACCCATAAGTTAATCAGTGGTCTGGAAACTTCAAAGAATCTCTACGAAAATTGATGATTCCATGACGTTTCCACCAGTCTAGACAGAGCTTTGACCGGGCAATAGCAAGAGGAAAAGTTCGTCGCGAATCTTCCGTCTGTCAACATGAAATGAACAAGATGTCATTCAAAAAGACTCAAATTCCCATAGTCATCTAAGTACTTTTCTCAGTCTTATGCTGAGAAACGGTAATTTGGCAGATAATGGGTACAGATGGCTATCTAAGCACCCTTTCGGCAGATAAAATTTTCGAAAGTTTGCTTGACAACCTATAGGCTTTGTCCTTTGTCTCACTGCAATGTCGAAAAACCGCGCCACCGAAAAGTTCTCGATCAAATCCTTCAAGCATCACACAGATTTCCCACAGGCAGTACGCCACTTAGCGCAAGTTCGTGGCCCCTTTTTGTGAGCAATTTGAATCTGCGCGCTTGCCTGAGAGTAACGCAGCGCGAAGTTTATGCGATAGGGCGCGATTTCATTAGTGACGAGAGTTTATGTCAAGTTTGACGAGCTCTGTAAGAGCAGCTGATGTGCCTGTACGTGTTAATATGCGATTCCTGACCACTGTGTTAAAACTGGTTTATTGTGGGAATTCTCAGTCAATGCTATTAGAATGGATTTATACGAGGAATTAGTCGCTGCTATCCTTTTCATATTAGTTGTTGTCTTAGTTATCGCTATTTTCCGAAAATTATTGGAAGTTCGAAAGCGAAAGTCCATTAACGATGCGGCTTCATTGAAGTGTGAGTTTTTTAAGTAATCCGATTTTCTTGATAATTTGGTCAAATATACAGTCTTTTCCAATCGGTTTTGTTTTCTGTTCATTCCCATGTTGTGCGATTCTCCGGTTTTGCATGACTCTTTAAGGCACATCCTTCTTCTTCTACATTCTTGCTAACTTAACTTGGTAAGATAACCTAGAATCAAATCAGTTTATATCAGTGAGCCATTCAAATGTTAGCGACTAGTACAATTTCTAGTTGCAGAGTCATAACTAAAGATTTGGATCTAGCTAGTTTGTGGTGAATCATGTGTTTTAGACAAGATCAGCTTAACCCTTTGCTTCTCGTACCTGTATATGATTGTAAACTTTCTTGCCTTTTTAGCTGGCCATTTTTGGACGCGTGTGGACTTTGCTGATCGAGGGTTTTTCTGTGCCTCTTGTAAAAAGCATCTTGTTTCTGGCTATGAATGTGATTACTGTACCCTAAAAGTTGATGAGGTATACTTGTTGCTTTTCGTAAACATTAGTATCTCTTATCAAGAGACGATCACGGTGGCATATCTGAATGTAATACTATCGTTCCAGGTTGGCTGTGCTCGCAGCATAGGCGAAAAGATTTCATGTAAAGTTTTGCAAAAACCGGATGATGATGGGCACTATAAGCATCAGTGGGTGAGTTTGAAGCACTTTAAATTCTATCATACATGTTATTTTTGGAAAGTAGCTGTACGTTGATTTCCAGATCCCAGGAAATATTGATTCGGATCAGTTTTGTTTCATGTGTGATGAACTCTGCGGTGGTGGCGTTAGTTTGCGCGACTTTTCATGTTGTTTGTGAGTTTGTTTTCATACAGAGATGCTGTTCTTTCTTTTTGCTCAAATCTAACTCGTCCTTTCATGTAAAATTTTGAGTGGTGCTATGTTTCAAAATCAAGCGATGTATGACACTTTACAGATGCTGGCGAGTGATACATTCAGCTTGTTTGAAAAAGCTTGCTAGTGATTACTGCGATTTCGGTGCATATCGGTATTTTACTTTTCCTCCAGATAACGTCTACATCAAACGTGTTGCAAAAAGAACGGTACTTTAGTCAATGTGAAGGCTTTGCCAAGTAATTTTGTGCATTTCCAGGTGATTGACGAAGTAGTTCTACCTGAGCAAACCGATTTCAAGCCTATAATTGCATTGGTCAATACCATTTGTGGTTCTTGTACAGGAAAGATAGTGTACAGAACTTTCCTTCGTCACCTTCATCCGAAACAGGTCGAACATTTTTTTTCTCATTGGTAAGTTCGTGAATTTTGCATCTCGTTCAAGGTTATTGATGTACAAAAGGACAATATCAAAGCAGCACTGCAGTGGATAGAAAACTCGGAGGTGAGATTTTCGAATCTAGCGTTTTTTTTTCACCCTAATCATTGTAACGCAGGCAAATGTGCGCTTGGTTGTTGCTGGAGGCGATGGTACCATCTCTATTGTACTCGAGACATTGGAGGAGTTCCAGAAAAAGGCACCGGTCAGTTTGGCTCCTGTTATGCTCGAAAAGTCTTTTATCATATGCCTCTTTTACTATGAAAATGTCATAAATTTGCAGAACACCACACTTACATTCTTTGTGCTTTTTATGCGTTTCATTTCTAAGTCCAAATCATCAGCAAGATAAGCGTTAATAGTGAAAATCTAGTTTGATTCATGATTTTCAGATGGCTGTTTTACCGCTCGGAACCGGTAACGACTTGTCCCGGGTCCTCGGGTGGGGTAGCGGAACGGATGGAGATTTGGACATGCTTCAAGTTTGCTTTTCTTTATTTTCACAAATGAACTCAGTTTCTGCGATTCTGTATGCATGTAGCGGTCGTTACAGTATCTCAGCGACGTTCACGCTGCCGATGTACAAATGGTGGACCGCTGGAAAATCACAATCAAGTCTAAAAACCAGGTATCCATTGCGTTTTGCTATTTTGGTTCGTCATCATTGTGTTCCAGTTTGGAAGAAGGACAGTGATCAAGAATATGAAGATGAGTAATTATGTTTCTATCGGAGTCGACGCCAGTGTTACTCTGGGTATGCAAAAAACCAGGAAATCTATACCAAGGGCATTAAGTAGCAGGTAAATTTCACGATATTGACTGTTGTAATCTCTCACCCATCCGTTTATCTTCTGCATAACCATGTTGTTAACATTCAGTTTGTAATTTGTTCTGCTTCTTCCTTCTTGCTGAATCACATTTTGGAATGCTCCTCAGTTATTCCTTTGTAACGAACCATTTTAGACTGCTCAATAAGCTTCTATTCTTTTCTTTTGGTACCAAGGATGTGTTCGCTCGTACTTGTAAAGGTCTCAATAATAACATCTCTCTCTATCTAGATGATCAGTAAGTTTGCACTTGCTGGGCCTAGTACCACAGTTTTTTCTTTTTCGTCTTTCAGGTTAGTTGAACTCCCAGAAATAGAAGGCATTGTATTCTTGAACATACAGTGCTGGGGTGCAGGTGTCCAGGTTTGTTTCTGGTTTGCCTTATGTGCTACGTAGCACCTCTTGCTTTTTTAGCCTTGGAAATATGCGGATGAAGATCGACCTCAAAAAGTTGATGACGGAGTTTTTGAAGTTTTTGCGGTGACATCATCATTTCATATTGCTCAAATGCAGGTACTCGTTTGACTATGTTCACTTTTCTGGGTTAGATCATATTGTTGGAATAGCTGATTATTGCCCACATCTTGTACATGTAATGATCGTAATAATGCTAGTAATCTTATTTTGGCTCTTGTCTTAGCTCAGTGACTGTTTAGATTATGAATATCGCAGTTTTAACAGAATAGGCTGAGCAGAGATGCACATTTTATCTTACTAAATCTGTCAGACACCATTGGTCGATGTTTTTATTTCGATTTCTTATTCTACAGAAAGATGAAAATGGTTTATGTAAACGCAAACTGAAGTGAACCACAAGCAAATGATTAGTAGGGTTTTCTTCCATCTTTCAGTAAAGAGAGAGGGCAAAGTTTCGCAGCTTGATCGAACTCTTGTTCTTCCGCGAATTCCCGAATGAGAGCTACTTTTAAGCCCCAATTGCATATTATCAGAAAGATATGTTGAAAGAGATGTTTTGTGCCCACGTCGCCGATAGGTCCATTTTGGGGAGAGCTGGCAGGAGCTTATGATACAGAGCTGCGTGGTTTGTTGCTGTCACGTGCGACCCCCTCTCCCTTAATGATATAACATCTTCTACTTTCAGTGTAGAGATGTGTAAGCTGCAGCTAAGGTTGCATGAAAAAGGTTGCAGAAGGCTATCACAGAGAGGAACTGACTGGAGGCACGATCGGCACGAATTCGTCGCGAAGCGATAGCGCAGCGCGACCTCGTTCCGCACAAGACCGAGTTCTCCTCGCGCAGTTTACTTATGGCATGAGTTATGTATCCCCCCTCCCCCGCTAATCCCCTTTTTTGCCGTCGGTAACTCTAGCGGCGTAGAGTGTAGAGTTTTTGTGGGGTAAAAAATTTGAGCGCTGCATACGCCGCCTGCGCGGTTGCCTTGTGACGTGCAGCCTGTCAGTGAATAGGCCGCATTTTGAGCTGTTGGATTTCTTGCTTCATGAGATACGCACTTAAGCAAAGTCTTGATTTCGGGGCTTACAATGATATGCAACCACATTTTTACTACCTCGAATTTGGCCGGGCAAATGCCGCTTGATTTTGCGCATTCGGGTGGGTAGCTTCTAGTCTGTTCCTACATACGAAGTTCGGTTTTGTGGACGCGAAAGGTAACAAAGAAGTGGAAGAAATCAATCTAAAATAATGACTCATATGGTGTCGCACAAAGAAATGTTACCAAATTTCTCTCATAGATTTTAGTGAGGCAGGTCCGCGACTTCGCAGTTTAGGTCTGCTTTTACTTGGCAGCTGTAAACAGTTTGTTAGTCCACAGTAGTCTAGCTGGTAGGGTTCACAGTCATAAATTTGGACTTTTGACTAGTTTGGGCTGTGAATGAATCCAAGTAAAATCAAGGAATTTCTGCAAACTTGTATACACTACGCATAGTCGGCAGTTTAGAATTCAAAGTGGTTTAAAGCAATTCTGCAACCCTCAAATAGTCTTCATGTCCCAAACAGAACCTGTGATCACGAGTTAGCACTTTTAAAACACACTGTTTCACCTTATTGCGTCGTTTCCCGAAGGTCGCTTGGCTGTGGGTGTTAAGGTAACAGCATAGTCTACAATCTTTCCCAAATCACTGTGATGTGCCTTGGTAGCTTTTGTTCAAAATTGCCATTTCTGTGGCGGAGAGTTCCGACAGAAATCACAGTGCGTGAAGAATCTGAGGCCTTGGGAGCTTACATTACCGTATATTGAAATTTTTACCTCCATTTTTCTCGGAGTAACATCCGCTAATCAGAATCACTAAATATCCGACAAATAACTGATTTGCCTTAACACTTACGCTAACGTGAAATTTTAGTTGAACTCGTTAGTGCATCACTTTTGTTTTACCCATGTGATGCTGCTGGATACGTGAAGTGCTCTTGCATTAAAATTTTTAGGTTGGTCTAGCCTCTCCGCTTTTCATCGGCCAAGCCCGAAAAGCTGTTGTTGTGACAAGGAATGGATCTAAGCTCCCTATGCAGTGGTATGGTTTTGAGATCTTGCATCAAATCTATTGAGACGACGGTGCTAGAAAGGGGTGTAGTAGTCATTTTTGCTAACCATTTAGCTTTCCATTTCAGTTAGGTTGCGAAAGTTTTTCGAAATTTCTGAGGATATTTAGTAATTTCAAAGAAGTTTCACTATAACTCACAAATTCAAGCAGTTTATTTTCATTTCATCTAATGTGAGAGAATAGGTCATTAAGCCTAAATTGCTGACGGCGCTTGGCTTTTTCGCGACCTAGTTTGATTTTTTGGCATTGTCCAAACCTTTTGTAGCCATTCTCCAGTGAGGCATTCATTGTAGAGTCTGAAAGCAACTATTTATGATTCAAGAAGTCTTTCATTATTATCCAAGTTTCAAAGTCGACACTTTAGTGATGGCGAAGCTTGGATGCAGACGAGATGCGAATTTTATCTCTCGCATCATGGGCAAAGCCATATGTTGAAGAGACTGGAGTCGCCAACGCAGAACAAGTTTTTCTGATAAATTACTCTAAACCTTTTTCTTTTTTGCGTAATTTAGCATAATAGATAACCAGTATAATCATGTATATAGTTTTTTGTTCGCTCAGCTTCTCAAAGAGATCTTTTTTATGCTATCAATGTCCAGATATCACATTAATAGTTTTAGCAAATGGAATATTACGAGTATGATCACTTGACGCTATGACTCACTCAATGTTTGTTTTGTTCTATGAATGTATGAAACAATTTTCTTAGTGAATCTTTTGCATGCGTAATGCTCGTATGCGTTAGCAATAAAGTTTGAAAAACTCTGGAACTGGTTTTTATTTGAATAAGAATGCTTTTTGAAGAGAGCAGATAATCAGATTTTTGAGCGTTTCTTATGAAGATAAAAATGCAGTTGGATGGTAGACATTGGACTACATTAGGTTTTCTATAGTCTTTGTCAACTTTTTTGTGACATGAAAAGTTGGTCTTCTGTTTGATAGATTTTTATACCACGTTTTCGAATGCATTTCTTGCTATAGGGAACAAAATCGGAAAAAAGTTGTGGCTTATAACCAATGCAGAAAGTCCAGAAAATACGATGTTCCTAGTTTAACAACATCATACATGCATTGCTAATGATGACGACAAAACTATAGGAAAAAAGTGTTCGACATATGCCACGCCTAATCTGTTCCAGTCCGGTATCTGTCAGCGACCTATATCACACTTTTCCAGTCTGTTCTGCACTTAACAACATTTTTTATTAGTGAATGTTGAAGATTATGTCGCCAATAGGCTTGCGAGGACAACTGATGTAGGATGTAATGTGTTGAGATGCACGGTTTGTGGCAGATCTCCGCCTAGGCTGAGATCGGCGACACCTCTACCTGTAAAATTTCTAGAATCCTCTATTCGTTTTTCGTGCTCCTGTTTGCCTTCGTTTGTGGGGACTTCAGAGCGCTCCGGTCTGTGACGAGAATGTTCCGTCTGCAAAAAAAAAGAAATTCGATTATTCACACAGTCTGGCCCCATGAGAAAAGTGAAAAATGTACATCCAGCACTTGAAAGACGCAGATAAGCGGCCTCAGGGGGAACAGTCCGCTCTTCTGAAGATCTATGCATAGAATTTTTCTTTCGTTCTGGACTGGCCATATTAGCTGGCATTTTGTGCGGAGCGTGCATGTGGATACCATTTCTTCTACTCATATTGCTCGCATATGTCAGCTTAGCCTCTCTAAGAGCATTTGCATTCTCTCACGCTTCGTCTCATTGAGATTATTCATCGATCTCGGGTTTGTTTGGATTTCTGGCCATTGTTTCAATTATGGCTGCCGCTGCCGCAACCTAGAACTCGTTCCGCATGCGCATGCGTAATTGACCTCAGGGCGACGTATAAACGCGTCAGCATTTCGGAAGAGCCTTTATCACTGAAGCGTCATTTATTCTCCATCTGTGCACAGGAAATTGCATCCTAATCTTCTAAATCATAAAATGAAGAGAATGCGGCATAATCTTCCACTGTGGTCCAGAATTCACATTTAGCATTTTAAATACAACCAATTATTTGAGTTGATTCTCAAGGAGATCCATGAGTAAGGCCTAACTAAATCAAAAGGGTTTATACAGCTTATGCTGATTTACAGGTTATTTACTCGCACTCATTAGAATGTTTAAGAAACTAGGCATTCTCTGTATATACAAGTGCATGTGTTTACTATTATTTCGGATTTCTTTTTCGTGACTGGAGAATGAAGCTTACTATGCTGGAACAAGCAACGTTGACATTCATAAGGGATGAACATCAAATACGCTTCAAATTATTTTAGTTGTCAATTATCTAAAATGTTGAAAACATGAAATTATGTAGTTTGTTATGGGAATCAACGCTGATATACATGGCGAACATCAGGGAAATTTTGGCATTTTTATATTGTCTAGTTTTTGAGGTAAACTACAAATTATTCACAATCAGAATTATTAGGTCGCAAATTTGTTTGCATCATTTGACCGGCATTCGTTTCTGAAATCATAAATTCCGGCTCTCTCAACGGATTTACACGAGCTTGATTTTCCTAGATAGAGGAAATAATCTTCTATCTGTCAATACCTTTGCTGTTCTCTTACAAGTGTGAGCTTTTTAGAGAAAAGCAGTAGAATGAAACCACGTCAGGCTTGATCATCAACTTACATAGGTCTCCAAATTAAACCTGTGGTAAAATTCGATGCACGTTGTGGAGTTTCTTGATTATGAAGTCCCATCCTTTCAAGCTGTGCAGAGCTCGTGTTAAATGTCTATGAAAAGTTATGTTTTTGGGTAATTAGCTCAAAACAGCAAAATTGATTTTTTTTGACATTTGCTTCATAGAAACGCTCAACCAACACTTTGCACTGCTGGAAAGCCTGGATCATAAGACTTATAACTCTGCTTGATCCGCAATTTATGGTAGGTTTCAGAATTTTGAACCTAACTTACCATGGTCAAACCTGAAATGGTTTTATTCACTTGCTTCTCTCACAAAAGCCCACATTGTCAGAGGGCAGCTAAGGCATTGTTGCGGAATCAAGTTCGTGCAAATCTGTCGAAAATACATAAAGATGTGTATTTTCAAAATGTTGCCAACAAACTTTTGCACCAACCTTATATTTTAGACTGGGAATAGACGCAAATCGCATTAGCTTTTAGAATAACTGGTGTGTTGTTAGACTCTATCTGGACTCGATATGCTAATTTTCCTCCTACCAAGATAGCATGAAAATGAGAAGCTCCCAAATTAGTAATTAGAAGTTCAGGCAAATGAAGATGATCGATAGATGCACTAATGACTAACTGGTTCCTCACCACCACTGTTTTGTATTACACAACAAGTCAAAACTTGGATGGTTTGTGAATTTGTCTCCTAATCCTGTTTTCACCCTTGACTGATTTCATCGCATCAATTCTACTTTATTGGTTATCCTTGCAAACTGCCTGGGTGATGACAAGGTGATCCGGTATTGTGATAGAAAGTCTTATCAAGCTTCTTTGATTACAGTTTTTTCCTCCCACAGTTTGAATCATGGACGTGTTTCGCTGACGCAGGTAATGTGAATTTTGCTGCGACGCAGTTGCTCCCAGTCTTGTGTTGAGCCAAAATTTTGAAAAAGTAATGGCGCAGTTTTCGTTGTGAGCTTTACTAGAAGTTATAAATGTAGCAATAAACCAACATTTATCGCTCGTTTTGTAATGAATTGAGATTTTATATGTTCATATCGCTGAAATGCTTTCGAAAAACAAGCCAGCGGCAGATCTACTTTTCCTCAACGAGATCAAATGCCCTCTCGAAACACAAAAATTGTCTGTGCAAAATCAAGTGGGGTAGCTTTATTTTTGTGCAAGCGCGGCAGAGATTTTTCGTAGATGCACACAAATCGTCCGACAAAACGTCCCTAGTGTTTAATCGTTGATAACTCCCTTGCTACAATGTCTTTGCTAGCTTCAACTTAGATTTATAGTTTGGGACGAATCACTCTTCATTACTGTAGGCTTACTGTGGGAACATCCGACATGCGACACCATTGTAAAGTAGGCCGCTTGGCGAAAATTATGGAAAGCTATTGCAAAATACCATACGTCCTGATTTACGAGTTCCTCAGGCTTTTTGCATAATTTACTCACAAATGTGAGGAACATTGAAAAATGGATGGTGCAGTATAACTGACTTATATAAAAGAACTACGGTAGCCTGCGAACTTCATATTTGAAGGCCCTGATTTGCGTAGTATAGGAGCTTCAGCTTATTTGGTTGATCTGATGTGATCTTAGCTTATTGGGTTTTCGTGCGGAGGCAAAAGTGGTTTTCAAAGGCTCATAATCGCTTTCGATGTTCCTACCGTAACTCTACAGTATTGAAGAGATGTGTGGTCCATCCAATACTATATTTGAGTTGAAGCCAGTTCTACAGAATGATGCCTTAAGAACGGTATACATCGAAGCAAGAGAATGATCAGCAATCAAACAGTAGGAACTTTGAGACCTGTTTACTGCAAAGCTGATCAATTTCGAAAGCTTTGTTGGAATGGCAGTGGATGAAAAAGTTAATCATACATAGCATTTATGTGTTCGTTTAATTTTACGTTGCCAGCACCTTTACTTCTGGGAAATTTGACTTGATTTTCAGAACTTCGACGTAGAACGCAAGCCTAGGCAAGTTTCAAAACTGAAGAGTGGATTGCAAATCATGTTCTCTTCCAATTTATCAATTGTTCTCAAAATATTGAGCTTCGTAATTTCTTCACAAGATGTTTCTTCTCTGAAGTCCAGTTGTTTATAAGCAGAAACGTTTATTTTGTTTCTGAGCTTCGTGTGCGTTAATGCTAGCCCTTCGACGATCGAAAAATCTTTTCTCCGACTTTTTGATTTTATTGACGTTAATCTCCTCTTGAATGCATAACATCCTACATACTGTTGAAGAAACGACCATTATCTCCTATTATTTCATAATTTTGCGTAATTTTCCGTTATAAGCGGCCCATTGAACCCAGCCCAGCGAATCTAACTTTCCTCAAGGAAAACTACACAAATTCATGCATGACTGCATTATGAGAAATTCAGCATGTTTGACATATTCCAATAAAAGTTCTTGAGCACTCGCCTGGTTCATGTGGAGTCATACTTTCACATGTAGAACATAACAACAAAGATATTTATGAGCTACTATCGTAGAAAACATTCGAATGTATTTTTCGAAGCTCCAAGCTGTTTCATTGTATTAAAACAGTGAAATATGTATACTGACTCGTGAATCACATAACCCGTTAACCACGCTTGGAGTCAAAGTATGCTCATGTTTTTTTTGTAAAGCAGCAGGCAAATAATTCTTAAAAAATCATGAAAAAGTTTATTCTGTTGTACAAAACCCACTTTACGGTACCTTGCCGAAAATACAGGTCCGGATAATGGGAAATGGAAGAGTGCCAGTTTGGTGTCTGGCATTATACTTCTCCAAACTTGAAAGCTCGTCAATTTAGGAAACAATGAAATGTGCCCTGAAGTATTAGATTGAGTGAAGGCTTCATAGCAGTCCCATTGAAGACTTGCGTCAGCAGCTTTATATGTACTTGCTTAGTTTTCCTTTCATTATTGATATTTTACAAAAAATACTAGCCCGCTTCAAGTTCAGCTTATTTTTGATTATGTTTATACTATATTGCCCAGAAATCAGCTCAGAGCCATTCTCCCTTCATTGCTACTTAGATTATCTTTCCAAAAATTCTTCTCGTCACTGCATAGGAAGCAAGGA